AAACTGGCGCTACGAGCAAGAACTGGACAGCCTTTTGTGGAAGATCGAGTATAAGGAAATTAAGATGAATGAATGGAGCTCAAACCACGCCATTGTGCCCAATAAAATGTCCCGGGTGAGTTGTGCCGTCTTGGCTGGGTTTGTTTTTTTGGTTTTGTTTATTTTCTCTGTCTCTGTCTCTGTTTTGTCTCTGTTTTTGTCTCTGTCTGTTTCTGTCTCTGTGTCTCTGTTTTGCTCTGGTTCTGTCTCTGTTGTCTGTCTCGTCTCTTGTCTCTGTCTCTGTCTCTGTCTCTGTCTCTGTCTTCTGTCTTCTCTGTCGTCTGTCTCTGTTCTCTGTCTCTGTCTGTCTCTGTCTCTGTCTCTGTGTCTCTGTCTGGTCTGTCTCTCTCTCTCTCTCTCTCTCTCTCTTCTCTCTTCTCTCTCTCTCTTTCTTTCTCTCTCTCTTTCTCTCTCTCTCTCTCTCTCTCTCTCTCTCTCTCTCTCTCTCTCTCTCTCTCTCTCCCTCTCTCTCTCTCTCTCTCTCTCTCTCTCCTCTCTCTCTCTCTCTCTCTCTCTCTCTCTCTCTCTCTCTCTCTCTCTCTCCTCCTACTTCTGCTTTCGTCTCGTGCCCTGCTTCTTTTCTTTCTTGTGCGTTATTTGTTTGCTCGTATCTCGTTCTTCTTCTCTTGCTTAGAAGTTCAACTGAGTAGATAACGTTTTCTTGTGCGTGTTTTTCTTGTTTTCGTATTTCCCTGTATACATTACCGTGATTGTATTTTTTTGTTTATTTTTGTTGGTGTATGTTTGCATCTATTGTGGTTTTCGTTTCTATCACTTTTTATTGATATACTACTGGCGTGACTCATTTTCCTTTTATTTTTTATTCTTTATTTTATTTTATTTCTTTTATTTATTTATTCATCTTTAATTCCTAGCGTTTTTCCTGTTCGTTCTCATCATTAATATCTTGTTTGTCATCATTATCATCTGTTCACTTTATTTCCCTTCATTCAATTTCCTTATCTTTTTTTCAAGTGCTTTAGAATTTTCTTTATTCCATATATCTAGTGTTTCGTTTATTCCTTTTTTTTTTATTTGTCTGTTTGTGTATGTTTTTTTTTATTGTTTTGTTTTCTTGTTTTACTTCCTTCCTTCCTTCGTGTCTGTCTCATACTGTTGTTATTCGGTGATTTTGTGTATCCCTTCCATTTCTTGTTTGTTTGTTTTTCTTTTTCGTAGTCCTTTATTTCATCTTCTTCTTTCTGTCTTAGTTTTTCTTTCTTTCCCCTTTAGTCCTCCCCCCCCCTTCTCATAACTTCTGTTTTGTAGTACGTACATAGGTGCATTATTGAATCGCTTTCCTTAGATTTTTTTTTAGAAGAAAAGAAAAGAAAAAGGGGGCAAAAAACCCTTTCACCCCCCACCCCCCCCACCTCAAAAAAAAAAAAAAAAAAAAAACTTTATTAAACCTGACCTCTCCTTTTGACCTTTTGACTTAAGGATTGAACTCCCCCTCCCCCCGGCAAAAAACGAAAAAAATAATAATAATAATAAAAAAAAAATAAAAACATAAAAAATAAAAAATCTTCTAAAGCCTTTCTCAAAAAGAAAGAAAGAAAAAAAAATCCTCTTTGAAATGAACTTCTCTCTTTGACGAGACAATTCCTCCGCCTCATTTTTCCTTCCTTTTATTATTTGAAATATTTCATTAGCTCCTCACAACTCCTCACTCATACTCCATTACCTTCCATCCTCTTTGAAATATGGCTCTTTTTGCTCCATACAACCTCCAAGCTAATACTCACTCATACCCTTATTCATCTAATAAGCGTCCCTCACAACTCCTCACAACTCATACTCCCCATCCTCCGATCCTTTTTACTGATATCTCCATCTTCATCTTCATCGTCCTCACAACTCCTCACAACTCATACTCCCCACCCTCCAATCCTTTTTGCTGAAATATATCTTCATCGTCCCCACAACAACTCCTCACAACTTCTCATAACTCATGCTCCCCATCCTCCAATCCTTTTGCTAAATATATCTCACGTCCCCACAACAACTCCTCACAACTTCTCATAACTCATGCTCCCCATCCTCCAATCCTTTTACTGAAATCTTCATCTTCATCTCATCATTCCTCACAACTTCTCATAACTCATGCTCCCCATCCTCCAATCCTTTTTACTGAAATTCTCATCTTCATCTTCCTCACAACTCCTCACAACTGATACTCCCCATTCTCCAATCCTTTATACTGAAATCTTCATCTCCACCGTCCTCACAACAACTCCTCACAACTCAAACTCCCCAACCCTCCAACCCTCTCAACCGAAACATACCCCACCGTCCCCACAAACCTCCCACACTCACCCCCCCCCCCACACACACAACCAACTTTTTTTACTTCGTCCTCACGTACCCTCTCTCTCTCCCCCCGCCCCTCCCTCAAACAACCCCCTCCCTCAGGGTCTCTACTCAACGGTTCGAACCAGCCAGCTCTCCTTAAGCAGCAACCCGACCTCGACTTCCGGTACACCAGCGTCTACACCCAACTGGATGTACCGGGGCCGGGTGGTCCGCCTCAAGCAGGTGTCGAGCAAGGGCGGGTCGACGTCACGAGGAAGGCTGAAGAAGGAGCTGAAGACGGTGAGTGTGAGGGGGGAAGGGTGGAGGAGGAGCGGGAGGGGAGGAGGGGAGGAGGGGGTGGAAGATGGTGGGGAGTGAGGGAAGGAGGGGAAGGAGGGAGAGGGAGTGGAAGGGGGAGAGGGGATGTGGAAGGTGGGGAGGGGGAGGTGGGACGTCACGAGGAAACTGAAGGAGCTGAAGACGGTGATGGGGTGAGGGAGAAAGGGGGAAGGAGGGGCTGGAAGGGGAAGGCGGGTGACGGGGGAGAGGAAGGTGGGAGGGGAAGTGGGAGAAGGAGCTGAAGACGGTGAGTGGATAAGTGGGAAGGGCAGGAGGAGGAGGGGTTGGAAGGGGGGAAGGAGGAGGGGGTGAGGGGGGGAGGTGGGAGGTGGGGAGTGGGACGTCAGAGGAAACTGAAGAAGGACTGAAGGACGGTGACGTGGAGGAGGGAGGGGGAGGAGTAGGAGAGGGTGGAAGGGGAGGAAGGTGGGGGAGGGGCTGTGGGACCGTCACGAGGAAACTGAAGAAGAGCTGAAGACGGTGAGTGAGTGAGGAGAGGAGGAGGGAGGGGTGGAAGGCGGAAGGGGGAGGAAGGTAGGGGAGGGGAGGTGGGAGGGGGGATGTGGGACGTCACGAGAAACGAAGAAGGACTGAAGACGGTGGAGTGGGTGAGGGAGGAGGGGGAGGAGTAGGGAGGGTGGAAGGGGGGAAGGAAGGTGGGGGAGGGGCGTGTGGGACGTCACGAGGAAACTGAAGAAGGAGCTGAAGACGGTGAGTGAGTGAGGAGGAGGGGAGGAGGGAGGAGGGCGGTGGAAGGGCGAAAGGGGGAGGAACGGTAGGGGAGGGGGAGGTGGGAGGGGATGTGGGGACGTCCGTCACGAGGAAACTGAAGAAGGAGCTGAGACGGTGAGTGAGTGAGGGAGGAGGGTAGGAGGGAGGAGGGGGTGAAGGCGGAAGGGGGGGAAGGTAGAGGGGAAGGTGGGTGAGGGGGATGTGGGACGCCGAGGAACTGAAGAAGGGTGAAAGGGGAGAGGGAGGAGGGGGAGGGGAGGAGGGGTGGAGGGGGGGGAGAGAAGGAGGTGGTGGGAAAGGAAGGTGGGGAGGGGAGGTGGGGAGTGTAAGGAGGTGGCTAGAAGGGGAGGAGTGGGAGGAGGAGGGGATGGGGGGGACAGGAAGGAAGGTGAGGGAGGAGGGGAGGGGTGGGAAAATGGTGAGTGGTTTGGAAGGGGGAAGAAGGGGGAGGTGGTGGGGGAGGGGGATGTGGGACGTCACGAGGAAACTTGAAGAAGGAGCTGAAGACGGTGGGAGTGTGAGGAAGGAAGGGGGAAGGAGAGGTGGAAGGGGGAAGGAAGTGGGAGGGATGGTGGGGAAGGGAAAGAAGGTGGGGGAGGAGAGTGGTGTAGGTGGTGGGTAGGAAGAAAGGTGTGAAAGAGGTGGTAAGAGGGTGAAGGAGAGGGAGGAAGGAGGGAGGGAGAGGAGAAAAGGACGGAGGGCGGGAAAGAGGTGGGGGAGGGAGGAGTAGAGAGGGGACGGGAGGAAGGAGGAGGAGGAGAAGGTGTGTAGGTGGTTGTGTGGAAGGAAGGAAGGCGGAAGGAGGAGGTAGGAGAGGTGAGGAAAGTGGAGGAAGAAGGGACGGGAGGCGGGAGGGAGGGGAGGAGGAGGAGGAGGAGGAGTTAAGAGGGAAGGAGGAGGAGGAGAGTAGGAGGGATGGAAGACGGGAAGGAGGTGGTGAGAGGAAGGTTGGGGGAGAGAGGAGGAGAGGAGATGGGAAGGAGGAGGAGAAGGACGGAGAGACGGGATGGAGGAGGGGAGGAGGGGGAGGAGGGAGGGGGGAGGAGGGTGGAGAGGAGGAGGAGGAGGAGGAAAGGATAGGGAGGGGAGAGGAGGAGGAGGAGAGTGAAGGAGGAGGGAGGAAGGGAGAGAATCGCGAGGAGGAGGCAAGGAGAAGGAGAGTAAAAGGCAGAGGACGGGGAGGGCAGGTTTGTGGGGTGGTGTTAAAGGTAGGTGTATGTGTGTATATGTGTTGAAGAGAGAGAGAGAGAGAGTCGAGAGAGGAGAGAGAGGAGAGAGAGAGAGAGAGAGAGAGAAAGAGACGAGAGAGAGAGAGAGAGAGAGAGAGAGAGAGAGAGAGAGAGAGAGGGAGAGAGAGAGAGAGAGAGAGAGACAGACAGAGAGACGAGGGGGGTATGGAGAAAGAGAAAGAGAGGTATCTTTGTGTGAGTATGTTGTTGTATTTATACCTTAAAATAAGAATACAGTCCTGGCATATATAGAGGCTATTATGTTGATCTTCTTACAAGAAAAATCCCTGAGACTTTTTATACCACATATATCATGTTTCTCGTTATTCTTTGTAATTATTCACTGTTTACGATATACATAAAGATAAT